GTGTCCCCCCTTCTTACGGCTCATCGCACCCGTGCCTCGGCCGATCGAATGAAAAAACTAATTAAATATACCCGGTCGTCGCGTCTCACGCCTCTTCCTCCCTACCTGTTTCCTCGATCTTCTTATGAATGAAGACTTTTGAGAGGCTTCCACTACTACGATTATTTTTCGTTGAGAGTGCTAACGCTACTACAGCCCTCCGAAGGCGGTGATATAAGTGACCCTTGTAGTTTTGTAAAAATAACATGTACGAACAGGATATGACTAGTATGGAAGTGCCTTATTTTGTAAAAGAGTTATTGGAGTTGTCTTTGACAATGCGGAGGAAGTGTTTGAATAGATACCAGTCGAAAAATTCGAATTGTTTGTGGCAGCCCTGGATTGATCGAGGTAATTTTTGTTACTTTATTATTATTTGTCAATAAATTGTCTGTATCGTACTGTTTACTTCCAGTTTGATAGTATATAATGTAACCATTACTACTTTTTTATATATCTCCAATTACTTGCAGACTCTTCTATCGTTAATTATTTTCAAGATTAATAATTAATTATTTTGTTCTTTTCCCAATCATTTTGTGCATTCGATAATGGACTTCAAATTTTTGCTAATGTGTAAAGAAATAAGCTGTTTAGTATGAAGAGCTGTTGAAGTTTTCATTATCTAAATAACTAGTTTTTAATGATGTGAAGTTGAATAACAAATTCCGGTGTTCTTTTTTGTTCTCAAGAATTTTTCATCATCTTGTGACCATTTTCTCTACCTGTTTCCTCGATCTTCTTATGAATGAAGACTTTTCAGAGGCTCCCACTACTACGATTATTTTTCGTTGAGCGTGGTAGCGCTACTACAGCCCTCCGAAAGCAGTGATATATAATTGACCCTTGTAGTTTTGTAAAAATAACATGTACGAACAGGATATTGCTAGTATGGAAGTGCCTTATTTTGTAAAAGAGTTATTGGAGTTGTCTTTGATAATGCGGAGGAAGTGTTTGAAGGAATACCAGTCGAAAAATTCGAATTGCTTGTGGCAGCCCTGGATTGATCGAGGTAATTTTTGTTACTTTATTATTATTCGTCAATAAATTGTCTGTATCGTACTGTTTACTTGCAGTTTGATAGTATGTAATGTAACCATTACTACTTTTTTATATTTCTCCAATTACTTGCAGACTCTTCTATCGTTAATTATTTTCAAGATAAATAATTAATTATTTTGTTCTTTTCCCAATCATTTTGTGCATTCGATAATGGACTTCAAATTCTTGCTATTGTGTAGAGAAATAAGTTGTTTAGTATGAGAGCTGTTGAAGTTTTCATTGTCCAAATAACTAGTTTTTAATGATGTGAAGTTGAATAACAAATTCCGGTGTTCTTTTTTGTTCTCAAGAATTTTTGATCATCTTGTGACCATTTTCTCTACCTGTTTCCTCGATCTTCTTATGAATGAAGACTTTTCAGAGGCTTCCACTACTAAGATTATTTTTCGTTGAGCGTGGTAGCGCTACTACAGCTCTCCGAAAGCAGTGATATATAATTGACTCTTGTAGTTTTGTAAAAATAACATGTACGAACAGGATATTGCTAGTATGGAAGTGCCTTATTTTGTAAAAGAGTTATTGGAGTTGTCTTTGATAATGCGGAGGAAGTGTTTGAAGGAATACCAGTCGAAAAATTCGAATTGCTTGTGGCAGCCCTGGATTGATCGAGGTAATTTTTGTTACTTTATTATTATTCGTCAATAAATTGTCTGTATCGTACTGTTTACTTCCAGTTTGATAGTATATAATGTAACCATTACTACTTTTTTATATATCTCCAATTACTTGCAGATTCTTCTATCGTTAATTATTTTCAAGATAAATAATTAATTATTTTGTTCTTTTCCCAATCATTTTGTGCATTCGATAATGGACTTCAAATTTTTGCTAATGTGTAAAGAAATAAGCTGTTTAGTATGAAGAGCTGTTGAAGTTTTCATTATCTAAATAACTAGTTTTTAATGATGTGAAGTTGAATAACAAATTCCGGTGTTCTTTTTTGTTCTCAAGAATTTTTGATCATCTTGTGACCATTTTCTCTACCTGTTTCCTCGATCTTCTTATGAATGAAGACTTTTCAGAGGCTTCCACTACTAAGATTATTTTTCGTTGAGCGTGCTAACGCTACTACAGCCCTCCGAAGGCGGTGATATAAGTGACCCTTGTAGTTTTGTAAAAATAACATGTACGAACAGGATATTGCTAGTATGGAAGTTCCTTATTTTGTAAAAGAGTTATTGGAGTTGTCTTTGATAATGCGGAGGAAGTGTATGAAGGAATACCAGTCGAAAAATTCGAATTGCTTATGGCAGCCCTGGATTGGTCGAGGTAATTTTTGTTACTTTATTATTATTCGTCAATAAATTGTCTGTATCGTACTGTTTACTTGCAGTTTGATAGTATATAATGTAACAATTACTACTTTTTTATATTACTCCAATTACTTGCAGACTCTTCTATCGTTAATTATTTTCAAGATAAATAATTAATTATTTTGTTCTTTTCCCAATCATTTTGTGCATTCGATAATGGACTTCAAATTCTTGCTATTGTGTAGAGAAATAAGTTGTTTAGTATGAGAGCTGTTGAAGTTTTCATTATCCAAATAACTAGTTTTTAATGATGTGAAGTTGAATAACAAATTCCGGTGTTCTTTTTTGTTCTCAAGAATTTTTGATCATCTTGTGACCATTTTCTCTACCTGTTTCCTCGATCTTCTTATGAATGAAGACTTTTCAGAGGCTCCCACTACTACGATTATTTTTCGTTGAGCGTGGTAACGCTACTACAGCCCTCCGAAGGCGGTGATATAAGTGACCCTTGTAGTTTTGTAAAAATAACATGTACGAACAGGATATTGCTAATATGGAAGTTCCTTATTTTGTAAAAGAGTTATTGGAGTTGTCTTTGACAATGCGGAGGAAGTGTTTGAAGGAATACCAGTCGAAAAATTCGAATTGCTTGTGGCAGCCCTGGATTGATCGAGGTAATTTTTGCTCATAGTCTTAAAAAATGTTTTATTTTAAGTATATATTTTGACTACTTTATTATTATTGGTCAATAAATTGTCTTGTGTATTTTGGGCAATTTTTCTTTAACTGTTTCCAATTTTATGAATCAAGAGTTTCAGTACTACTATATTTCAATGAGAATCCATTGGATATCGTAATTTTCTGATATTTTACTTGACTTTTTTCATTGTTTTGTGAAAATTTAACGGTTGCACTGATACTACTAATATGGAAGTAGATATCTACTATATTTAGTAAAGGAATTGTTAGAAATGTCTTTGTGGAGGAATAATTTGAAGTAGTACTAATGAAAAAATTTAGCTACATTTTCTCATTTTTTAAAAATTTGTATACAGGGTGTTTCAAAAAACATGTGCTTGGGAAGTGGGAAGGTTCCTCACGTAAAAATAAGATTTATTTTTAATATCAACATAGGTCCGATTCTGCATTGTTTCATAACTACAGGGTGTTAAAGTCTTAATAATGTTTCGATTTATTATAATTTTCTTCCTCCTAAATCCCAAAAGAACTTTTAGGGGTTCGAATCAAATTTTGAGGGTAGAAGATGCTATACTTATTGTAACTTCTTGATAATATTATGTAAAATATTAATAATATAGTTCTTATAGTACTTACTTTATAATATAACAATACAGCTAGTAGATTAAATTTACAACAAATAAATCCCAGAAAAAAGGTCCAGTTGTTCTCAAAATTTAAGCAAAAAATCCTTTTTTTTTGGTAAAAGTAAAATAACTTATTTGAAAAACGGTAAAGAGAAAATATGTTTCTTTTATCGAGATCTACCAGCCCTGAAAATATTTGCACTTATTTAAGCTCACCCTGTATAGTTTTTTTTAAATTGACACACTCTTAATAAAAATTACTGCAAATTTTTAATTCTTTTTATACTTTTTATGTTTCAACCACTCTTAAAGCTACTGAGAATATTAATTTTTGAATAATTTAAAACTGTTAGCGTTTCTTCCTTCATTTTATTCCCCATTTCTTTTTCTCTTTCCATCTTTACCTGTTTCTGATCTTATGAATGAAGAGAAGATCTTCGTTTTATTCAAACGGATGCTGGTGAGTAACCTTTAGGATTGCAATCGACGATTACAGTGATTGTACTATTCACTTAATAATTTTCTTCGTTCTAATAAGAAATAGAAGTATGACTTAATTACTAATATAAATAAAGTATCTTATTTCTAATAGGCCTGTTTATAATTTCACGTGTATTTGATCTTAAATGAAATTATTTAGTAGCGGCAATAACTCTGTGTTTAGTAAGAAGTTAATTTTAAGTTTGTGCAATCATATTTCTATTTTTTTTTTCGTTGGCCTTTTTAAATACTCATGAAAATGACTAGAAAGTGTTTGGTGTGTGGAAGTTCTAATATAAAGGTCCCCGAATTATCTTTTCATAGGCAAGTAAAGTATTCAGTTGTTCTTTTATTTATATTAAACCACACGCATACTTTTTGGTTCGATTTTCTAAGAATATTGTTATTCGTTCGGAGTGACCAAATGTATTTTTTTTTATATAATTTAACTTTCTGTGACAATAAACATTCAATTTATTGTTCAAATATGTGCATTTTACAAATTAAATTTTTAAAATTAATATTCAAATTTGGCCCGTGGACGATAGGTCCTCGACAAGGATGGATAGAGTAGAAGTGTGCAACACAAAAAGAACTTACTTATCCACGTAAGTATATATGATCTAGGATTATAACTCAAGAAAGGTGGACCTAATGGATCTATAACTTCTCTCCCCGGTATAAACACTCTAACTGGACTACTACAACTGAGCTTTACCTGTATTTAATGTTCATGACTGAATCAGAATATATACTGATATACCATATCATAATTGAGTTTAAATATTTCAAACTTTTTAAAAAAATATTATTTTTATTTACTCTTGTTCTGTTGTTTCAGACGAACCAAATAAACAAAACAAGCAAACGACGAAATGGAAAAGAGATCGGAGACGTTTGTTGCCAGAATATTCCAGAAAGTCGGATCCAAAAGTCCCCGAAATTCTAGGTATAGAGCCGTCCAGTCCAGAAGCCAGTATATCCAATGGAACCAGTAGTTTAGGAAATGTCAACGGTATGGTTATACTTTATTTATCTTTATTATTAAATTATTATCTACTAAACATTGGCCTGCACGTCGTCACATTATTTGACAAATGCACGTCGCAATGTTGACACCGCTACTTTTTTACTTTGACTTTTGACAAGTGGCAAATAACATTCGTAGATTTATCACCGATTCTATATCTAGCCCTCTATCTATTTGCGCAACTGCGTCTATGTTGTTCTGGTAATGTGCAACATTGATTCTCGATTAATATTTTCGTCTTTTCAGGATTTCAGTTGAAAAAAGACGCAGATGCCAGTGCGGACGCTCCTCTGGACATGAGCGTGCGGCAAAGAGGTTTGCCACCTTCCTACGCTCAAACCATGAGCAATCCCGGCTACAGATCGTCGTACAAGAGCGACTACAAAACCATCGTCATATACAACGGTGTCCCTCCCTTGCCTAAAGTCAAAGAAGAATTACCAGCTGGTAAGCAATAAAACTATGTTATCTACTATTGTGAGAAAAATAACTTTACTCCAGTAGGGGGGGTAAAATGTAACACGTAATTCACCACAATACGCCAAAACATTTTTAAAAATGTATTATATTATATTAAATCTATATATATGTATAGTAATTAATAATGTTGCGGGCCGGTGTGGACTCAACCTAACCTTACAATATGGCCCGCCCTCGGATGACCTTAACATCGCATAGACACCGCAATGATTCATTCGTTCGAGAAGAATCGAGTCCCACTGGAATGGACTAGTACATACGAGAACATTCGAAAACCTTCTCTATGCGCCTAACGATCTTTGGACTATTCTAGATTTCTTTTACCTGTCGGTATAAAAGCCGGCGGCAGTGGCCTAGAGGGGGCAGTTATAAATATACAGTTGACGCGCTAAAATTCAAAATAAATTCTTAGTTATAAATCGTTTGTAAATAGTTCTATAAGTCTTTTATCGTTATTGTTTTTGTTAATTAGTGTTAAATAAATAGTGTTTAAATAAATTGTGACTTTCTATCCACACGGAACCGACGAAAAACGTAACAATTGGTGTCAGGTGTGGCGTGTGTGATAAGAAAAATAAAAAGACTAACAATGGCTCCGAAGAAATTGTTGAAAGACTTGAAAGTGTCCGAACTGAAATCCATATTGGAAGAGAGAGAGTGCGAGACAGATGGAAAGAAAAGTATTTTGCAAACCAGACTGAGAGACGTTTTGAGGGAGGAAGGCGAGGATCCGGACACATTTTGCTTTGAGTTCGAAGGTGACCTTGACTCGTGCCTACAAAAATTAGAAGATAAAATGACGGAAAACTCTCAAAAATTAGAAGACAGTTTGAATGACAAAATTACAGAAAATTCCCGAGAATTGCAAGACAATTTAAACGGCAATTTGAATAATTTAGAAGATAAAATCAGTGATAAAATGATGAAAAATTCCCAGGATTTAATTAATATTTTAGAAGATAAGATCGCAGAAAATTCTAAAGATATACAGGCCAGCTTTAATAATAAAATACAGGAATTAGAAGAAAAGATAATAGATACACAAGATAAAATAACAGAGATTGAGGAAGATGTAAATAGAAAAATCGAAATTTTAAAACAAGAAATAGAAAAGGCCAATTCACCAAAATGTCAAGAAACATCGGAGGCACCGAAACTAGTCGAAAATAGGTATACCTCAACATCAGTTATGAAACCTCCGCAGTTTGACGGAAAAACCGCTTGGGCCAACTACTTTTGTTAATTTGAAGCCGCTGCGAGAGCAAACGGCTGGACAATCGCTGAAATAGCTACCGCTTTGACTATCGCACTGCGGGGAGATGCGACTGATATCCTGCAGACACTGTCACCATCGGAACAGGAGATTATCAGCAATTGGTACGACATTTAGAAATGAGGTACGGCCAAGCTCATTTGGAACATGTCTATCATTCCCAGCTAAAAAATCGCATTCAAAAGGCAAATGAGTCTCTGCAGGAGTTTGAAGCCGATGTAGCCCGTCTCGTTCGCCTTGCGTACCCTGCTACGCCCGAGAATGTTATGGAGCGGTTGGCAGTACAGGCATTCTCCGATGGCTTACGTGACAACGAGACAAGACAAGCGCTTCTCCTAGCCCACCCAACGCACTTGGTGGATGCTTTAGCACGTGCCCTAGAATTCGAGGCCGCGAAACAAAGTCCTCGGTCTTTAGGAAGAGTACGGGCCATCGACGAATGTTCCGACGAATCCGTGGAAGGGATTGTTCGGAAAGTAATGGACCAGTACATGGGCAAGAAGGGACCGATTCGTTGCTGGAACTGCGGACAGGTAGGACACGTGCGAAGCCGTTGTAAGGAGAAGAACGAAGAACCGGCTTCGTCGAGGTCGGAAAACTACTAAGGGTCGAAATGAAGGGGCACACGTCGACCTGTACCCAACATGCCCCAACGAAAACTGCTCGAGACGCCTCGCTACAACACAAATTCAACAGCATGTTTGTGGATGGTTTTGTTGATGGAGAGTTCCGGACTATGCTGTTGGATACAGGAGCGACGAAAACTATTATCAGACCGGACATTCTTAAAACATCGAAGAAGGTTAAAACAACACAATGGCGACTACGTACTGCTACGGGGGGCTCTGCTGCTGTCCATGGAGAAGTAAACCTTAATTTTGTTATTGGGAGCACCAGTTTTGAACATCCAGTGGTAGTAGCAGATATCGAAGATGAACTTATTCTCGGAATGGACATCATGGCCACTAGAGGTTTTGAACTAAACTTCAAACAGGGAATTTTGAAAATAAATGAAGAAGAAGTGGTTCTACATCGAAAATGTGAGGAGACGCTTCGCGTGGTGGTAGCAGAAGATGTTTCGATCCCTGAGCGCTGTGAGATATTTTTGGATGGTTGCCTGGAAGATAAAATGAATAATGGGAGTATTATTCTGTTGGAGCCAAGGAACCATGACAGCGAAATAGGACGGGGGATCGCTGTTGGAAAAGCCCTGCTACGAGCGAAGAAAACTGTACCGGCGAGAGTAATGAACACAAATTATTATTCTGTATCCTTGAAGAAGGGAACCCTTTTAGGGTACTGTTGTTCGGCTCCTCAGTCATTCGAAGCGTGGAAGCCTCCAAAGTTTCGACTTCAAAAATTCCGGACAAAATGGTGAAGGAGTTAGTAAACGTTAAAGGATTATCTCCCGAAAATAGTAGAAAATTGAGAAACCTAATAATCAAGTATCAAGACGTGTTTGATAAAGGAGAAGCAGGAGATAGAGGTCGTACCAATTTAGTACAACATAAAATTGACACCGGAGATGCACGACCAATCAAACAAAATCCGAGAAGACTTCCGCTCGCCAAACGTGAAGAAGCTGACAAAATCCTTCGAGAAATGAAAGAAGAGGGTGTCATCGAACCATCTAACAGCCCGTGGACATCGCCGGTAGTACTAGTAAAGAAGAAAGACGGTACCACCAGGTTCTGTGTTGATTATCGGCAGCTCAATAATGTTACCAAGAAGGATAGCTATCCCCTGCCGAGGATAGACGATACTCTAGACACGCTGGCGGGGTCAACGATATTCTCTACGTTAGATCTGAAGAGTGGATATTGGCAAGTCGACATGGCGCCGAAAGACAGAGAGAAGACAGCGTTCTCGGTGGGCTCCGGACTGTGGCAATTTACCGTCATGCCCTTTGGATTGTGCAACGCGCCAGCTACCTTTAGAGAGTAATGGAGTCTGTGTTAAAGGGACTATCCTGGACTACCTGTTTAGTGTACCTGGATGACATCATAGTGGTTGGGAAATCCTTTGACGATCATCTGAAGAATTTGGAAGAAGTTTTCAAGCGACTAGGGAGCTCTGGTTTGAAACTTAGCCCCAAAAAATGTCATCTGTGTCAAGAAAAGGTACACTACTTGGGACATGTAGTCTCCTCCCAAGGAGTTGCGGTAGATCCACAGAAGACCAAGACAGTGGAAGAGTGGCCAATACCTAAAGATAAACATGAACTACGAAGCTTTTGGGACTATGCACATACTATCGCCGCTATGTACAGGGTTTCGCCACCATCGCAAAACCATTGACCAGACTTACCGAAGGCGAGAGGCGTTTCTCTTGGGACTCAGATTCTGACGAGGCATTCCGAAAATTGAAGAAGGCCCTGACTAGTGCGCCCATACTTAGCTACCCTCTTGGCAACGGAAACTTTATATTGGATACCGACGCTAGCAATGTTGCGTTAGGCGCTGTTCTGTCTCAGATCCAGGATGGTCAAGAAAAAGTCATTGGTTATTTTAGTAAGACCTTGTCAAAACCGGAAAGGAACTAATGTGTAACCAGACGAGAATTACTAGCAGTAGTTAAAGCAGTGGAACACTTCTACAAGTATCTCTATGGAAGAAAGTTCTTGTTAAGAACAGACCATGCTGCTTTGAAATGGCTGTTGCAGTTTAAGAATCCTGAAGGGCAGGTAGCTAGATGGATTGAACGATTACAAGAATTTGACTTCGACACAGAACATCGAGCTGGGGCAATCCATCGGAATGCCGACGCACTTTCCAGAAGACCTTGCGCTAAGGACTGTAAGCATTGTTCCCGAGCAGAAGAGAAAGAAGTGAAACTCCTAAGAACAACTCTTGCAAATGACCAAACCAGTGACCCAGAATTAGGTTTAGTAATTAACTGGAAAAACACAGGCCAAAGACCAACGTGGGAAGAAGTTTGCAGATATTCGCCGAACGTAAAGTCGTACTGGGCCCAGTGGAATTCCTTGGTAATAGATAACGGACTACTTCGCCGTGTGATCGAGAGACCGGAGGGACAAGAAGAGAAAAGGCAGATCGTCATTCCAAAGAAGAGGGTCCCAGAAGTCTTGGAGGAAGTTCACAATGGAACCAGCGGTGGACATCTGGGTGTTACCAAAACACTTGGCAAGCTGCGTGAACGGTTCTACTGGATGAACTTGATGTGAGGGCCTGATGTAAGAAATGTGACATTTGCGCAGCCATCAATGGGCCACAAAAGCGTGGTAAAGCCCCTATGCGCCAGTACAATGTCGGCAGTCTCTTCGAACGAATAGCGATCGACGTGGCTGGTCCTTTCCCGGAGACGAACGATGGCAACAAATACATTGTGGTAGTAATGGATTACTTCAGCAAATGGGTCGAGGCCTACGCGTTGCCAAATCAAGAAGCGTCCACCGTTGCTGATGCCCTTGTTAAAGAGTGGATTTGCAGGTTTGGTGTTCCCATGGAGCTTCATTCAGATCCGGGAAGAAACTTTGAGTCCAATCTGTTCCAAGGCGTCTGTGAAGTCCTGAACATCCGCAAGACCAGGACGACTGCTCTACATCCACAATCCGATGGGATGGTTGAACGCATGACAGAACTATCAACCGTTATCTGGCCAAAGTAGTCTCTGACCACCAAGAGACTGGAACAAATTTCTTCACCTGTTCCTGTTGGCCTACCGTTCATCCGTCCAAGAATCTACAGGGCAAACTCCAGCCAGCATCGTTATGGGACGGGAAGTGCGCCTACCCTGTGATCTGAAATTTGGTTGCCGACCGGGAGAAGAAGTCGCCGGAGAAGATTATGTCCACACACTACGTCAAAGGATGGACGACATTCATCAGAGAGTCCGCCTAAATATTCAAAGTGCTAGTGACCGAATGAAGGAACACTACGACATTCAAGCTGAGCATGGAGGATACCAACCAGGGAAGTTGGTGTGGCTATATAACCCGCAGAGACGTCGTGGGTTATCTCCGAAGCTACAATCCTCGTGGGAAGGGCCATACGAAGTCATGGATAGAATTAATGACGTCGTATACCGTATCAGAAAATTGCCAAAAGGAAAACCGAGGGTAGTCCATTTCAACCGTTTGAGCCCCTACCAAGGCGAAATAGAAGATCGTGCTGGGACCGTGAGAACCTGCAGCTTTGATCCCCCTGATTCGGAGATGTCCTTTGACGATTTCATGGCCCGATACAACAGCAGTGAGAAGGCTCGCTATGGTGTAACCAAAGAAGATCAACGAGACCTCTTTTCCGTGCCTCCTGATTATTCGCTCGCTCATTGTGTGGCTCGAGATTTGCGGATGTCCAGAGGAATCGCTGCGACGTTCAATGAGAAGTTTGGGCGTGTCGGAGAACTACGCCGACAGGATCCAGAGGTTGGAAGCGTCTTGAGGCTAACCGACAATGCACATGGTCAAGCAAGGCACATCTTCTACCTGGTCACCAAGGAATGGTCCCCGAGTAAGCCGACTTATCTCAATCTATGGAAGACCCTGATTGAACTGAGAGAAGCCCTGCTAAACAACAACATTGCACGATTAGCCATTCCGAAGCTGGCGTGTGGACTCGATGGTTTGAGTTGGCGTACAATCCGGAACATGATTGAAGTCTTGTTCAGATTTACGGGAATCGAGATCCTCGTTTGCTGCTACAACCCAAAGCTGAGATCGGGAGAGAAAACTGTAGACTGCTATTTCTACCAGACTTCGCAATGTACCAGGGGCCAGCTTTGCAAATACCTTCATTCACCGTATACATCTCGGGACGAGCATGTGCCTAAGAAGGGAGGCAGTGTTGCGGGCCGGTGTGGACTCAACCTAACCTTACAATATGGCCCGCCACGGATGACCTTAACATCGCATAGACACCGCAATGATTCATTCGTTCGAGAAGAATCGAGTCCCACTGGAATGGGACTAGTACATACGAGAACATTGAAAACCTTCTCTATGCGCCTAACGATCTTTGGACTATTCTTTAGATTTCTTTTACCTGTCGGTATAAAAGCCGGCGGCAGTGACCCCTAGAGGGGGCAGTTATAAATATACAGTTACCTGACCGCGCTAAAATTCAAAATAAATTCTTAGTTATAAATCGTTTGTAAATAGTTCTACAAGTCGTTATTGTTTTTCCAACGATCTTTGGACCATTCTAGATTTCTTTTACCCGTCGGTATAAAAAGTCGGCGGCAGTGGGCCTAGAGGGGGCAGTTAGTAAATATACAGTTGACGCGCTAAAATTCAAAATAAATTCTTAGTTATAAATCGTTTGTAAATAGTTCTATAAGTCTTTTATCGTTATTGTTTTTGTTAATTAGTGTTAAATAAATAGTGTTTAAATAAATTGTGACTTTCTATCCACACGGAACCGACGAAAAACGTAACAATAATATATAGTATTATGGTGAATTATAGTATAGTATACAGGAAAGTTTTTAAAATAGTTTATTTTTTCTACACACCGAAAAAACCAACAAAACTGTTTATCGTTTTTTATGTTGTCTCTCTGGCTGTCAAATATCATGTATTAATGGTCATTTATATGTATCTCTGTCGCATTCATTAAAATACAGACCGCGCAGATGATGTGACCATGTGTATAGTAAGTTTTCAAAAAAAATAAATGAACTAACTTTTTTTTCTAGGAATTTCTATGTGTGAACCTGACATAGAAGAACACTTTAGAAGATCCTTAGGTAACGACTATCACACACTTTTTCAAAATAACGGTGCTGCGGCAAAGGAGGAAGAACCACCAGCGAAACCTCCACCGTCCCCACCAGCTCCAAAGGTAATTTATTTTTTTACTAGAGACAATAAGATTATGCCGAAAAAATAATATAAAATGGATAAATCCTTTTATTTATTTTATATTATTGCTTTATTATACAGGGTCCGGCAATAGTGCGTCGTGCTGTAGCTTCTAGAATAAGAAACTTAAGTTTTGATTTATTTTTTAATATCTCGGAAACTATCGAAATATATTTACTCATATCTTAGGATTATGTAAAGTGATCTGAAAAGAAGCCAAAAAGGCAATAATATACAGGGTGTTTCATTTTAAAAAAATCATTCAGATCCACTCACTTTTTTGAGTCACCCTATAGAAGTTAAAATTGTATATACTTTAGGTTTGCACTCCTAAATTCGTAAGTTTTCTTACGGACCTTGTATACTGTACGGACCCTGTATACTGTATGACATAGATATTGCTACACCGAATTAATAAGAAATCTCATGTGGTTTTTTTTTCACTGATAAAAAACTTTTCTCGTTTCATGCTTATAATTTTTTGTGTTCTCTTAATTCCAGACCACCTCCAACGTGATCGAGTTCATGGATGACGCAGGCCTGAGCGTGGACGACCATTTTGCCAAGGCCCTCGGCGACACCTGGAAGAAACTCAACCAAAAGGAGGAACAACTGAAAAGCAGAGAATCCGAAAACAATTTGCTATCGGCGAAAAACTGAACAAATTCAATTTAGAATTACTAGAATTATAATTACTGAGCCTGTTTATTGAGTGTGATTTAAGAGAATTACGATGCATTTTAGGAATACTATTTCCAAATTTACTTGTACTAGGTTAGGACTTGGCACCGCCTCTGTAGGCATCGTCTGGACAAACAGCTTTAGAGCCCCAAACCAATTCAAAAGTGACTTTGGAAATAGTTTAATGAATTCAAGTAAATTGTAATGGAGTCGTTTCTTAATCAGGGGAGTTAGAAATACTATTTTTAACTTAGCTAGTTTTTTAAAGAAATTTGTTTATACCGGTCAAAAATTTAAGTGTTTTTACAACATTTAGAATAAATAAAATATTGCTGTGTCTTTTTGTCCAGGATTGACAACTGCAAACTAAATCAGAATACAATTTTAGGATCTTTATAATTATACTTATTCATTAACTTAATAATTTTATTAGTATAATATGCACTTTTTGCAAAAAATTAAGGTCTCTCTATTAGTCACACTGTAAAAATTTAATAAAACACAATTTTGTAGGATGTAAAAATAAAACAGCGTCAAAATGGGTTATGAAACGTCAAACGTAATTTCTGTCAGGTCGACCTCTCCGCTATATGACATTTATTAAAATTTTGCATAAAAATATATTGTGTTACCAGCTATTAAATTGAATTTCATGTTTTAAAAAGTAATATATTAAAAAAATACGCGTTAAAAATAGTTTTTACGTGTAACAAATAGTTTTTTATAAGTGGAAAATAGTTTTTAATACGCGTAAAAATAGTTTTTTACACTTAAAAATAGTTTTTTATGTGTAACGTATAGTTTTATACTTTTTTGCGTAAAAATTAGTTTTTTTCATTTAAAAATAGTTTTTTACACTTAAAAAATAGTTCTTTGTGTGTAACGCATAATTTTATACTAATATATATTTTAGTTTTTTTCATTTAAAAATAGTTTTTTTCAATTAAAAATAGTTTTTTACACCTAAAAAATTGTTTTTTACACTTAAAAAATAGTTCTTTGTGTGTAACGCATAGTTTTATACGCGTTAAAACTGCTTTTTCGCGTAAAAATTATGTTTTTTCATTTAAAAATAGTTTTTTACCTAAAAGTACTTTTTTACGCGTAAAAACTATTTTTTATGTGTAACAAATATATTTTTAGGCGTAGAAAATAGTTCTTTTCATCTAAAAATAGTTTTTACACGTAAAAAACAGTTTTTTACATCTAAAAAATAGTTCTTTACACCTAAAAAATTGTTCTTTGTGTGTAACGCATAATTTTATACGCGTAAAAATATCTTTCTTCGCGTAAAAATTAGTTTTTTTCATTTAAAAATAGTTTTTTACAATTAAAAATAGTTTTTTACATCTAAAAAATAGTTTTTTACACTTAAAAAATAGATCTTTGTGTGTAACGCATAGTTTTATACGCGTTAAAACAGCTTTTTCGCGTAAAAAATATGTTTTTTTATTTAAAAATAGTTTTTTACCTAAAAGTACTTTTTTACGCGTAAAAAAAACTATTTTTTATGTGTAACAAATAGATTTTTAGGCGTAGAAAATAGTTCTTTTTATCTATAAATAGTTTTTACACGTAAAAATAGTTTTTTATGTGTAACGTATAGTTTTATACGCGTAAAAATACCTTTTTTTTGCGTAAAAATTAGTTTTTTCATTTAAAAATAGTTTTTTACACGTAAAAAACAGTTTTTTACACTTAAAAAATAGTTCTTTGTGTGTAACGCATAATTTTATACGCGTAAAAATAGCTTTTTTCGCGTAAAATTAGTTTTTTTCATTTAAAAATAGTTTTTTACAATTAAAAATAGTTTTTTACATCTAAAAAATAGTTTTTTACACTTAAAAAATAGATCTTTGTGTGTAACGCATAGTTTTATACGCGTTAAAACAGCTTTTTCGCGTAAAAAATATGTTTTTTTTATTTAAAAATAGTTTTTTACCTAAAAGTACTTTTTTACGCGTAAAAAAACTATTTTTTATGTGTAACAAATAGATTTTTAGGCGTAGAAAATAGTTCTTTTTATCTATAAATAGTTTTTACACGTAAAAATAGTTTTTTATGTGTAACGTATAGTTTTATACGCGTAAAAATAACTTTTTTTTTGCGTAAAAATTAGTTTTTTCATTTAAAAATAGTTTTTCACACGTAAAAAACTGTTTTTTACACTTAAAAAATAGTTCTTTGTGTGTAACGCATAATTTTATACGCGTAAAAATAGCTTTTTTCGCGTAAAAATTAGTTTTTTTCATTTATAAATAGTTTTTTTACAATTACAAATAGTTTTTTACATCTAAAAAATAGTTTTGGCGTAATACATCTCTAAATAATTTGCATGTTTGGAGACTTTTATAATTTATATAATAAATGCCATATAGAAGTTAGCCCGACAGAAATTGTCATTGATGAAAGGCCACTGTGACGTTGTTTTTTATCTTAAGTCTAATGTCGCTGAAAAAAATGGTTATTTGACATTCGACATATAAGTCAGTATATTATTAGAGTAAAAAAAATCAATAACTCTATTAAGCAGTCTGTAATATTTGTTTACAAAACAAATATAATGGCTATATAAACAATTATAATTATGTACCTAATTCTACACTATAATTTTATTATTAGGATAATATCGTAACGAGGTATATTTGTGTATGTTCTATATATAAGTCTGGTACCTCTTATCAGTTAATGTTATATATATATATACGATTGATTTGTAAATATCTTTTTGTACATATTATTTTTTACTAAATGTAGGTATATTATTTATAAAATTTGATTAAGAGAAATTGAAATCTTGTATATTAGGATTAGGAGTAATCTAGTGTGTAAATATACTGGTGATTTTATCGTTAATACTAATCTATGTAGTAATAAAATAAAGGAATTATGAAAGAGATGAATATTGTTTTTTTGCAGATGTTTACTGCCCAAACAATAAATTTTACCCTTGAGTCCCTGACAGTGACAATATTTTTAATAAATATTTTAATATATTAAACTTACATGTGTTTTATTTATGCAAAATCCCTTTACTATAACAATTAAAAGAAAAATCAGAGCTCTGAATATAACAGGAAAAAATAAAATAGCAACCTAAAAATGCTAGCATAAAACCAACCTAGCATGTCTAAAATATATAATGGCAAACCAAAAATATAATCACTATATAAAATACGTACACGTTAAGAAATATGATTCCGCAAAATATTTTATTTTTGTTCAAAACGAAATTTTTCATGACAAAAATGTACAAGATTTGGTTGCTCCGTGCGAAATTTTTCAACACCTCGAACAAATTTTTAACACTACCCAGAAATGGTGAATTTTGTTGACTCTAACACTTTGACCTCGTTTTCGAAATTAAAACGTTAATAACTCCGTAACTTAAAGAGATACAGGGGTGTGCTCGGCGCCAATCGATAGGGAATGCAACCCTCTATCTGTATACAAAATAGCAACCCCCTCGGATAACCTTTATTTTTTGAGCCAAAAATTTTCTAAGGTTAACCCCTTTGCTCATTTTTGCTCCAAAAAATAAAGTGTTTCGTAGGGGGGTTGTAATTTTGTGTACAGATAGAGGGTTGAATTCCCTATCGATTGCGACTTAGCGCGCCCGGATATCTTAATGAGTTTCTGAGTAATTAGCGTTTTTGTAAATGAGTCTAACTGTTTGAGCTCGTTGGCCAACGATTTCCGATTTAATTCATGTGAGAAAAATATTTTTAAAAATGCACATTTTTGGTGCCTGGTATGCCAGATTTGATCTAAATGAAATCAAATCTTTATGGAGTAACGTATGGTTACAGACCACAGTTACAGACTAAAAATGAGTTAATATATTATTAAATTAATTCAAGGCAACTAGATTAATATTTATTTTAAAATATTTTTGATTGTTTTAGCAACCAGTAATACACCAATTTTAATGTTAGCTGCCTTATCTTAAATTTAAAGACCTTTCAAATAGCAATAACTAAAGTGTATTCTTTAGTCATTGATTCAAAGGAATCAAAGGAAACTACTTGAAAACTTTAATAAGATTTATTAGAAAATTAATAATTTATAAATACAATTAATTACAAATTTATTGTTAGACATAATATACAGCCTAAATAGCATAGGTCCTTGGATTGCTCCTTGATTCTTCTATAGAATTTTCTTTCTGATGTATACCGGACGTTCATATTTCCAATAACTTGCAAATACTTCTGAAAAAATAAAAAAGTATTTATACAGGGTGATCCAGAGCTTTATATCAGGTTTTTATTTAATATTTTCACTCAAATATTTCTACAGTATACAGGGTGTCATTGAAATGGTGTAAAAAAATCGGAGGGTGATAGTACACCTAAAAATAGTAAAAAAAGTTCCTATATAAGTATAGGGCCGAAAATGCATATTAAGGGAGTTAGGGGCACTGAAAGGGTGAATTTAAAAAACGGTTGTTTTAAAATTGTAGGCTTAAAAAACGAGATAAGACTTCGAAAAAAATCCTCTGCTATAAATTTTGACCCTAAATCAAAGGGTGATACTGAAAAATTATTTGGAAAAGCGGAAAGGGTAGTTTTTGCAAGGGTAGGGGCTTATTTCGTGAATAACTTTTTTGAGGTTACTTTTTTTGCAACGTGGGTTCATTTTTTGAAAACTATATACTTTTTCCTAAAAAAAAAGGGTACTTGCACATCGCCCAGAGCGATGGTTTTCGAGAAAATTGAAAGAAAAGAGATTGCTTTGATGGGTTGCTAACTGGTTAATCAACCTAAACTTATAAAAGTTACGGCAATTCAAAAGTAACCAAGTAGTTATTAAATAATTAATTGGAAAATCAAAATTTCATGATTTTTAAAACATCTTATTGCTTTAAAAACGAAATAAACTTTTTTGGTTTTAAAAAAATTTGATTTGCTCAGTGGCGATTAGTACTGAAGAGCAACTATGGCAACGCATTATTGATTGTTCCAAATTCGGACAAAATCAATAAGGATATTCCACAGGGTACCTACGCAGATCGTGGAGAAAAAGATCAGATGTCTACATTGAAATGAATGGTGGTCACTTTGAACATTTACTATGAATGAATTAAGGAATGCATTATTTTAATAAGGAATTTTGGTAATTGGATTATTTCGTTTTTTAAAGCAATAAGATGTTTTAAAAATCAAGAAATTTTGATTTTTCAATTAATTATTTGATAACTACTTAGTTACTTTTGAACCGCCATAACTTTCATAAGTTTATGTTGATTAACCAGTTAGCAACCCATCAGACCAAACTCTTTGTCTTCAATTTTCTCGAAAACCATCGCTCTGGGCGATGTGCAACAAGAGTATCTTTTTTGTAGGAAAAAGTATGCAGTTTTCAAAAAATGAACCCACGTTGTAAAAAAAATAATCCCAAAAAAGTTATTCACGAAAAAAAACCCTATCCTTGCAAAAACTACCCCTTCCGCTTTTCCAAATAATTTTTCAGTATCACCATTTGATTTAGGGTCAAAATTTATGGCAGGGGATTCTTTTTCGAAATTCTATTTTTTACTTTTTTTAAGCCTACAATTTTAAAACAACCGTTTTTTAAATTCACCGTTTCAGTGCCCCTAACTCCCTTAATATGCATTTTCCGCCCTATTCTTATAGGAACTGTTTTTACTATTTTTAGGAGTACTATCACCCCCCGATTTTTTTACACCATTTCAATGACACCCTGTATAAGGCCCAACGGTAGCTTACATTTTTAACTATTAATGAATAATTTTCATATACAGAGCAAATCAAATATATCTTTGCATTAAGGTCATAGATTTTAAATGGAAGGTTCTATTTTTTTTCACGGCGCCGGCGTGGAGATTTGCCATGAAAGTTCCTATTCGATAAATACCATAAACTATACTGAACGTTTTTGAAATGACTCATTTTTAGATTAAAAATCTTCATCCCATCTCAACTCATCATCATCTTTTCAAAAAAAAAATATCATAGGATTTAACACCTTATTTTCCTGCAGAGTTTATACCTACATTTTGTAGGGACCAGTTAGACCTACTATATTATTATAAAACTATAGAAATTGGCGCTTATAAGGTTTTTCCTCTGGACCCTTCAATTATTATACTAAAATCTCATAAAACATATTTATGCAGTAAAAGAACATAAATATATGTGTGTATGCTAGCATATTATTATTTCATTCACGTTGTTTTACTATTCAGTTTACAGAAAATTGTAACAAATCAAAAAACACAGTGAAACAATGCGAAATAAAAAGTTTACCTTTACTACTGCATCTCTTCATAACAATAATACATCTCCTAATAATGTAGAACAACAATTAAAAGCAGAAACCATCTCGCGGGTATGTTTTTTCAACAGGATTCCAATCTTGTTGCTCCAGATTTACTCTCTTTTGGCACACACTTGAAAAGCAGAGTACAATCGATGAGGTTTTCTTATGAAGTTCTACGCAAGTTCACATCTTCCCAAAAGAAAATCTCGTTTCTTTCCATTTTTCTTGTTGTATTCCTCTTTGTTATCTTCATAAGAAGCTCTTATTACTGTATTATTACATATCTGTATCTGTAATAAAAAATGTTACTTCAATATAAGTAGATACTGATTGTCTTCACAGATTACACTTAAATATACGAATGGTAGATAAATAATATTAAAAATTAGTTATAAACTATATTATATAGATCGTACACTTTAATTTAACTAGTGGATTTGTTATCAAACCAGATCAAACTGAAAATAAACTATTTATTTTACTTTTACATATTTTACATAACAAAATACAAAAAAAAATATTTTCTAAGATTTGTAAGGTTAGAATTGGTTAGAATCAATATTCAATATTAGTATAAAATTTTATTCATAGATGGCTCTCACTCAACACTTTTTTGGAACAAAAAATTATAGATTTCTTTAAAATCCTCAGAAAATTTTAATCGAAGTTTAACTACTTAAAGTTAGATAGCATTAGGTGCGTGTTTTTTTAAAGAAATCTATAAATACCTAGTTTTACTATTTAACTCAAGATGGCGCCACCATAACAAAAAAACTGAAACCTATATTTGCTTACTTTTTGAATTTTTCGTTAGGTGGCGCCACATTCGTTTAGACGATAGTTCCAAAGATCGTCACTAAGTAAGAATGGCGCTGTTATCAATTAAATGCGCCAAAGGAAAAATTTAAATAGACTGGCCGCTTTTTTAAGAAGTAAATATACGCTTTTCTTGTTATTTCTTCACTTATCAACTGTAGAAATAGACTAACGTTTATTATCATAGATTCATCTTAGTAAGCCAAGTCTAAAGAATAAATATATCAGTATAAGTAAAATAAAACTCTAAACAGTATATTACGCCTCATTTCTTTTAAGATTTTTTATAATATAATAATAATTAATAAGAGATAGTTCCATTGTTACTAAAAGAAAATAAGTAGCGGTAGTAGATGACATGAGGAAGTAATTCCTAACAGATATGGCACAAAAATAAAACAGAGGAAATTTTTACAGTATCTAAAAACAGCTCTTTTATGTGCAAATTAATCAAACTAAAACATTTTACTTTTATTATCAGTAATTTTTTTGACAAATCCGGTCTATACAGGGTGTCCCAATATTCTGTGAACATCCCAAATATATCATCTATGTTACCTGTGGTAATATTCTAGGGTAAAATTTATGAAAGGGTTGAATGTACTACCCTGGAACTGTTGTATACAAAACCTGTAAAAAAGGAATGATATTATGCTATAATAATTATTGTGTTAATTTTTTTTTCTTAAAAAATATGGTTAGTCTATTAATAAGGATTAATTTAAATTGTTCTTAAGTAATAAAATAAACTTACTTATAATCGGATTATGGAAAATCAATCTCGTACACCATGGCTAAACATCAGAATGATATAAAGAATGACCCAGGTCTTCTTTTAGGTGGTTTTTACGTGCTTGGTGTGCAATAAGACTCCTAAAAATAAAACCATAATTAAAGCATTGTATTAAAACAACGCAAACTTGTTAACTTAAAAACTACCTATTAAAAATGTGAAAAATCTGAAAAAAATACGAGTTGGAACGTGTGTGACAGTATGACTGGTTTTAAATCTAAATCTATCTATAAAAAATTATATCTGAAGGAAACACGGCCCTGTTTCCTGTTTCTTCGTCCGAAATCAGTCCGAAATGTTACAAAATTTTGAGACTGCTAAAAGAATATTCTTTGGACTGCCCACGTAGCGGTGGAACTTAGCTCCATCTGTTTGCCGAATTTTTACTATTTACAGAAAACTTTTACCAGTAATTTATATGACAAAAGAGATCTACCACTTTGAAAAAAAGTTTCAAGGAATTCCCGTTGAACGCTCGCAAAGCCAAATCAGCTGTTTTCGCTCAAATTTTAAGCAGAAATCAGAATATAAAATATCGGCAAATTTTTTTCAACGGTACTTAAGGAGTACTAGCCACGATTCTTTCGATATGCCAGTGTAGTCGTAAATTTTCGTTGCTTCAGTTTGCCGTTATAATATTCCTTTCGATCTTTGTCTTCACCCCTTTGATCATTATGTTGAAAAATATTGTCGTTCTCTGTATGACTATAGTTTCAGCTAAAGGTAATAAATAATGTTCAATTTGTCCAAATCTTCTATACATAATAATTATTGTAGCACAACGTCCATACGACGATGCGTGGCATAGAAGGTGGTTCCCTCATTACCCCACTGATATAGATACCAACCCCGTAGTAAGCGATGGAAAAAATTTAAATGATGCGCATCACGGAATAGCTATGGGGGTGATAGACAGTAGCTGTGACGATGGAAAGGTAATCTGAAAAACGAACTATACAAAATTGTATGTTGTAATTGACAGTATTTTAATTCCTTCAGGGTAATATTCAAATTGACTGGTTAAACAACGAGGAAAACTACACTTGTCTGGAAAATAGGCGCTTGTACCAACCTAATCCTAGTGTCCATCCGATTGATAGTGTTGAACATATTCCTGAGGCCTATAGTGTAAGAAATTTTAAATTATCTTAACTAGGGAATAAATAATTTATTATATTCATGTCCAGTTAGACAATATATTATTTCAACAGATGATGCTCAATAGTATAAGAAAAAACTGTAAATAAGCAACAACATTTAAAGTAAAACAAAATATACACATAAAAGTGTATAACAAAGTAACAAATTCAAATTTGTCAAGAAAAAATTAAACAAAACTTACAAAAAGGAGTTTAAAGATGACGTCTGACCATGACGTCTTTTTATTTGTATTACCTTTTTTTTGTTTTCAGGCACAACATAGATGTATGAACGAATCAATTTCATATAATGAAATTATACCAACATTGTAAGTACCTAAAATAATATTATAGACTTTGTGACCATTGCAAATAAATTATTAAATTTTATTCTTAGTGGAACCCATAGACCTCTATGGGCGGCCTACGGCGAATATACATTCTTACCGAAGCAACGCTGGTTGCATAACCTCGAACACGGAGCTATAACGATGCTGTATCATCCCTGTGCTAACAAAAATGAAGTCAAACTTCTTGCCAGTCTTGTCAAGTCCTGTTTGTATCGTCACGTTATAACACCTTATAACCTACTGTCATCTACAAGAGTAAGAAATTCAAATATTAATTAATAATTATTTACTACGTTTTGTCTGTTGTTTGGTATGCTTTATGCTTTGTCCTAATATGATTTATATTTTATTTGTGTTTTTTAAAATATTTATAATATCTAACATATTATTTAGCCTGGTAGTAATAACAGCAATTCATGAGATTTATAATAATAAATAGTCAAATTTGTTTAAGCAATACCACAGTAGAAATAACTGAATTTGTCATATTTTTTTAAAAATTGAGTCTGATGATGATACAAGATTTGTACTATTATTTTTTTATTATGACATTTGTAGTTGTTATATTAATTTCGCGATAGATGGCGCTACAGGTCTCAAAAATTGGTTATAATTTAAGGACACACATTTTAGAGTATTCTCATGGTATTTTTTTATTACAGCCTTTAGCACTGGTGTCCTGGGGACACCGCTTAGAGATGTCCGAAGTAGCACCTGTCGTAGTGATCGATTTCATCAAAAAACACGCCCTTAAAGGTCCAGAAAAGACCCACAGGAACGGCCAATACAGTCACGGCCTCAAAGAGGGCGCGCAGCCGGTGTCCGACATGGACGACACTGTCCTGTGTCCAAACGTGGCAGGCGAAGGAATCGAAATGAAGTAATATAATAAATATACCCATATCTTTATTAAATTCAGAGTTTTTGATTTCTTATTAATATAATTATTATCCAGGGCATTATACTAATACGTCAATACCACTTGACGTCATATCATGTGCTAAGTATACCAATTATACCGTATGATCGAATAAAAACGGCTATTAAATAAAGATCGCTGTCATTTTATATGTAAATTTATACGGGAAATGTCATCGATAGTCATTTCATGGCCATCGCTAACGCCGTTTTTTTTTTGATAATACGGTACTAGATCTGGTCATTTCATCTGCGTGGTCTGTATTTTATTGCATGCGACAGAGACAAATATAAATGACCGGTTGACAGACAGAGAGACAAAATATAAAGCGGCATACAGTGTTGCCGGTTTTTACGTTTTGTAGGAAAATGGATGTGGAAAAAAATAAACTATTTTAAAAACTTTCATGTATACTACTGAGATGAAGATAATATATCTAAGCTGAATATAATCTATTACAGTTGTACTAAAATGTGTAACTAATTGTAAAAAATAAAGTTCCAACTCGACGTAGATGCAATATTTTTCGTAAACGCCTACTTCTGCGGTTTGAAATTTTTATGCAAAATCCGGCAATACCGCACTTATATTCTCTCTTTTTAATACATTTGATATTCCATTAAGCTGTCTACATCACTGTCTTACACTTCAAAATCCAGACCATACAGTTTCGATGACCAGATCAGTATGTGTATCATGCATGTAGTATATTTTTTCATTAAATCAGTATACTAATATGTACCTCCAAAAGGTTCAAATATATTAAATTGGGGTTTTCATTACTTCTTTTATCTATTTTTAGAATTATATACATAACCGTTTGGTGGAAATTTAAAAAGTCTTTTAGTCTGAATTCTAGTGTATATTAGCTTTGTTTGTGCTATCAATTCTCATCAATTTTAACTAGTTGCCTGTACATTGTCAGTAAATGATTTTTTACTACTTTTCTACTAATGCACATATAATTCTCTGCTACATAATACATAAAGAACTAATTTTCAGTAAATTAATTTAAAAGTTCCTTTTTTTAATTTTTGTTTACTTACCCAAGTCTTCCATTGTGGAGTCACGTGTAGTAAGAATGAGGTGTAGTCCATTGAGGGCGCCTATATTGGTACACAAGGTTGCCAGATTGCTGAGATTTTCTGAAAAGAAGACAAGTTATAGTTATTTCTCTATCTTAGATTTTCTCTTCATAATATACACAAATTCACAAATAGAAATTTTATTTTGCAGACTATTAGACGAGGATTAAAACAATTCTGAACTGTTTCAATATCATTTCAGTATGAATTGCAAACAAATTTATTCTTAAAGAATTCAAATAAATATTGCAAATCTGTATGAAGATTATTTGCTTTTATATCCCATTTAAAACAAATATTAGAATAATTATTATTATTTAGGAGGGCATACGTACTTTTATTATACATACTTAATTACTACTAATATTTTTATTGAATACCAAAAAATAAATTTACTAGGGTTTAGGTCTATTTTAAATCGTTTAATAATTCATGACCTAAAGGTACGCTTCTAATCGTTTTATCTATTGTATATTTATATAGTCTTATTATATATTTTTTAACATGAATATATCATCGTTTTGATGTATTTATATTTTATAATACGTTGATGCTTTTATTAATAACTTTATTTCTAGACTAATAAAACTAGTTCAAGTAAACATTCCTAGCTGCCTAAAGTATTTAGTCATAAAATAATTATTATCTATGGCAGTTCATTCCCAACGTCCTAAAGCTATTTATCAAAAAAAACTTAGAAATAAGTATAGAATAAAAAGTATTCCATTATTTTTTTCATAATTTTTTTAGGTTGAATGAAACCTTTGTTATAACTCTTTGAATAAACAGATCACTGAAGGAGTGTATCAGATTTCAAATTAAATTCAAGTGTTTTAAACTCCATCTTTAATCTTTTTATTCAAAAATCTTGCTACAGAGAAATATACACTACAACAGTACACTAAAACATTATTTTCAGTTATTTTTAAGTTGAGCTGAGTGTTATATCTTGATGACGTTTCTACAACGTATATTCTACGATAAAACTACATCATCAATTGCCAAAAAAATTGTCCAATTCGAATGAAAGTTGGTATCTGAGGCTGGTATTGTGATATGTATGTTCATAACTTGTTTTATTATATTTATGTGTTTTGGTGTAGTGTTAATATAGTGTGTAATTCTACATTATTTTCATTGTAGCACAGAATATCTAGTTACGCAACAGAAGCCTCGTTACATGTATAAAATTGTAGTTATCAAAAGGAGACAGGCTTTTAGAGCCTCTCTCCAAATCAGATATTTTGATGAGGCAGTTTCGCTACTACATAATAGAGGGCGATAAATTTAAAAGAAAACAGTTTTCTACAAAGGAAATTTAAAAGAATTTTGTGCAGTGATGCCATTGTGTAATTCATATTGTAATACTTCCTGATAAAACCTACCTTCAAATTTGCTACATCATTTAAACATATTAAAATAGATCAGAGCTCTTTTTTCAAACGTTTAAGTATTTAACTTGCCATGTTAGTTGGAGTTAAATCTTACGAGCTGAATTACAATCAGTTCCTGACATTTGATTGTAATTGAATCCTGAATTTTGATTGTAATTCGGCGACAATATAATAAGTATTGTTCCACTTCCTGACGTTCAATTATTGTGTTCATACTTTATACCGTATGATCGGGAAAAAAACGGCGTTAGCGATGGCTATGAAATGAAGATCGCTGTCATTTTATATGTAAATTTATATGGGAAATAGACCACTGAATCTGGCAACTGTGCATATTTAGTCGAGCTTCGAGGCCGTCGACGTGTCGTCGATCCAAAAGCGAAAGTTCAAAATTTCCAATTATATTCTGATTATGATATTGTCGCGCCATCTGGTATTTTATTTGTGCAATTTTAGCTCTTTCATTTCGAGTATTTTTCTGTTGCGTAGCTAGATTTTCTGTGATTGTAGTAAACAGTGGCTTTTTATATGTATTTTCTCGAATCTATATATGATCCAAGTGATATAAAAATGACTTAACGGATTTATTTCTGAAATATATCTTAACTTTATATATTAAATATATCATTGTTACCTAATTGTTCCTATTTTATAGATATGTTTATGACTTAAGATATCTTATCCTGTGCCAAAATACCGTTTTACAATTTGTAAGATAGGTATACTTTCTATCATAAAAAGAAAAATTAGTTATATGAAAATCTTATTTTATAACCAGTAAGTAGTCTTATGAAAGAGATCAAGCGTAATTTATGTATAGTTCTTTCAGCGAAAGTATATAATATGACGTTGGCCGTTGTTCTTTCTGTCATTTTTTAATTCATAATTATTGAAATAAAAGTTGTTTGTTTCTCGCCAGACTTTTTTTTTATTGTGGTATACTTTTTCTCAATATTAAACTAATGTTAGATTACGCTTGTGTCTATATAATATAATATACAGAGGTCCCAATAACTGTATGTCGTTGTTGTCAGATATATGTCTTAAATTTTATCAGTGTGAGAGCCTAATATTTATAAAATATCTTTAAATATTACTTGTCAATGAATTGTAGGTATCTATTATAATTAACTGTTGTAATAGTGTAAATTCCCGAATATCTATGTAATTGGTGTTAAATAAATTATAGATAACTGAAACACGTGTTTTTGTTTTATAATAATCATTGTTGCACGATATTATATTCAAATAATTAAAAAAAATTGTGTGTGCATATTTGTAGTGAAACTTCTTCTTACTTCCTCTTCTCTTCTTAAACTTCTTCTTTCTGTCTGCCAAGGGGCAGGGGAGGGGGTATATTGACGTCATTTGTAAAAGTGAAATCAATACATCTTAACATTTACAATAAAGGGTTGTGTGTTCGGAAATACCTATAAGAAAAAAGTTCAAAGAGCTATAAATAAAATTGAACGAAATAAATTTGTGCAATAGGCAGGGTGGCAGGGGTGGATGGGCCATATGGGAGAACGGGAAAATTCCCGGTGGGCCGGTGGGCCGGTCCCGATCAGAGCTCAAAAAGATTGGATTAGCAAATTAAATGGTTAATCTTCTAACTAAAGTGACGTAAGATCATTAGTGATCCATAACTAACTAATCAATTTGCATCAGTATAATCGTCAGTTGCTTTTAAATATAAACACCAATTTGTAAAATAACTATTGTAAAATTTCTTTCTCTGGGACACTTATAATTTTAATAATCATCTGTTCGTTTCGGTTTGAAAATTTTTATTATACAAGATGAGTCTATAAGTGCAAATATTTTCAGGGCTGGTAGATCTCAATAAAATCATCTCATCTCAGTTTCAAATAAGTCCAATCGAGTTATTAAGTCTGGAAATTTAAAAATAGATTTATTTTTAAAAAAATTTGAGCCACCCCAATTTTTCGGCATTTGCATCTCTTTTAGTACCGTAATATCAGAGATTAAGAAACTATACCGTGGGAAAATTTGCGGTGAACAGGAAGTTCCAAAAAGTTTTCTAAAATATACAGGAAAGTTTAAAAGAAAATGCTCGATTTTTAACATCCTTTTTTACAAAAAAAAACTCTTAGACGTGTTCCTGGGGTCGAAATATACCACCCCTGAAAATATTTGCACTTATTTAAGACTCACCCTGTATAGTTTTACCCACTATTCTTTTATTAATAACTAATAAATATGACTGACTGGTAGCAAAAAAAATGAATGAATAGCATTAGGTAAATTTAAATAGTCTCGATCTAAATGTATACTAAGAATACGGTAACGTAGATTGACAACTGAGGGGGGCCTCGGTGCATTATTTTTCGAGCTCCCCTTTGTAAAAAGGTAGACGAATTTGACGCGAACTCTGCGGTTGACGGAGAAAAAATATCTATATCTATGCTTGGCTTGAATTGTGTACGCACTAAAAGCCAAGTCTGAGATCTGAAAGTTAAGTCTAAATTGTTGTTTAAAATGTTGCTAAAATGAATTTGCTAAAAAATTACTGAGACAGCAGAGAAGAGTTAAATAAGGTTTAAACTAGATTAGGTAATAAAATATTAATATGTCTCGAAAATCCAAATGTTCTTATTATGGACTGTAACATAGCATTACATCAGAACACATTTATATCCACTGCCTAGGTATTGTCTAGGGTTTTTTCGTTTGATTCATGTTTGATTCATTCTTTTTACAATATGTAAGAAAGTATATACCCGAAAAGCTAAAAGTAATGTATTTCACAGAGGATTGGGTCAGCTCAGGTCAGCTGAACTGAATGAATCAGGAAGTCTTAAAGTTTCTCAAAATCATGACTCAAAATCGT